CTGTTACCATGGGTGAAGTACTTGCGCACTAGACCCTGTCTGCCCTTGCCTCCCCAAGGGCATTCTTTTCTCCTGCATCATCGAATCGTTGCTGTCTGCTATTTCACTCCCAACTGCCTACCAACACACTTTAATCTCTCCCACCCCTGGAAAAAAATCCTTCTCTTGACTCTACACACTCCTCCGGCTACCTCCCCAGGTTTCTGTTCCCTTTTATAGCAAAACCTCCTCAAAAGAGTTGTCTGTTCTTTTTTTTAAACTTTACCGGAGAACAATTGACAAATGTAATTGTATAATTTAAAGTGTAAAATGTGGTGATTTGATGTACATATGCATTGTAGAATGATTACCAAGATCAAGATAATTAACACATCCGTCACCGCACATAGTTAACGTAGTTAATACCCCCAATTATTTTTGGGGGTGAGAATGCTTCAGATCAACTCTCAGCAACTTTTTTTTTTTTTTTTAATTTTTTTTTTTTCAACATTTATTTATTTTTGGGACAGAGAGAGACAGAGCATGAACGGGGGAGGGGCAGAGAGAGAGGGAGACACAGAATCGGAAACAGGCTCCAGGCTCCGAGCCATCAGCCCAGAGCCCGACGCGGGGCTCGAACTCACGGACCGCGAGATCGTGACCTGGCTGAAGTCGGACGCTCAACCGACTGCGCCACCCAGGTGCCCTAACTCTCAGCAACTTTTAAGTGTACAATACAATGCAGTTAACAACATGGTATCGTATATTTGAAAAAGTTGCCTATTCTTCATGTCTCCAATTCTCCCCAGAACCCACTGTAACCAGGCTTTTGCTTATACCTTTCCAGAGAACCCAGTTTTTTCCCTAGATTCTCCTCAGCTCCCTAAACCATCAACCATGAAGGGTCCCAGGACCCACAACTCACACTACTATTTTTTAGCTATGCTCATTCCATAGATGAACTCAACTAGTCTCCTGGCTTTAAATATGCTGAAAATTTCTGAAATATTTTTAGTATTTCATGTATGTATGTAGGTATGTATGTATGTATTTATGAGGTATAGTTGGCATATAATATTATATTAGCTTCAGGTGTACAGCATAATTATTTGATATTTATATACGTTGAGAAATGATTACTACAATAAGTCTAGTTACTATCTGTCACCATACATAATTACAGAATTCTTTTTTCCTGGTGATGAGAACTTTTAAGATTTACTCTCTTGGCACCTTTCAAATACGCACGATGCTGTGCATTACAGCCCCATGACTTATTGATCTCATAACTGGAAATCTGTGCCTACTGACCTCCTTCACCCCCTACACCTACCCCCAGACTCCTCTCCTCCATTCTTTATCAGTTTTATTTTGTTTGTTTTGTTTATTCGATTCCACTTATAAATGAAATCGTGCACTATTTGTTGTTCTCTGACTTACTCCATTTAGCATGAAAGTTTGCAAATTTATATTTCCAGCTCGCATTTCCTCCAATAATCTTGGCTTATTTTTTTTTCTCCATAACACTCATTACCTTATAACGTATATTTTGCTTATTTATTTGTTTGTTTTACCACAGACAAATGGTAAACTCTATGTGGTAAGGCATTTTTAAAAAACATTGTATTATGGAACATTTCAAATATACAATAAATCCCTTATATTCATCATGCAGTTATAATAATCATCAACTCCTGGGGAATCTTGTATCATTCATACCCCCCCCCCACACCACTGGATTAATTTAAGGCAAATGATAGCCACCATACCATTTAACCTGCAAATGTTTCAATACGTGTCTCTAAAAGACAAGAACACTTTAAGTACAACCATAGCAATTGCTTAATGTCATCAAATATCCAGTCAGTGTTCCAATTTCTCCAGTAGTCTCACAAATGATTTTTTATTGTGATAAAATATATATCACATAAAATGGACTATTTTACTAATTTTTAAGTGCACACACCAGTGGCATTCAGCTCACGGTTGTACAAGCATCTCTGCTATCCGTCTCAGAGATTTTTTTCATCATCCCAAACTGAAACTGTACCCGTTATGTACCCATAGATGACTTTTCAGTAGTGAGTTTGTATCGGTACTTTTAAGATCCATCAATTGCATTTGATTGATACTGTGTTTATGTTCCTAGATTCCCCTCCCTCTTTTCTGCCTTTGAAATTATTGTGGAAGAAACTGGGTGGCTTGTCTTGGATCTTGCTGATTGCATACCCATGGTAGTATTTAACACGTTCCTCTGTCCCCTGTATTTCCTACAGACTGGTAGATCTGGAAGCTTCTTGAGATTCATGTTGGTTTTGCTGTTTGCCAGGAGTTCTTCAAAGGTGATACTGTGTCAGGAGTCACGTAATATCTAGTTGTCTCTTTTTGTGGTATGAGAAGTCATTGATGATCATACCCAGATCCATTAATTCGTTAGTTGGTTACAAGATGGTGCTATTCTATCATTTCTTCTCCATTTATTATCCAAAATATAGAATTCATTCCTAGAGCATGAAATATCCTCTCTTAAACTATTGAATTACCTTGAGATACAGCTCATTCAGGAAGGGCGACTTAAATGCTTTATTTTATTGTATTCTTTTCAGCTTTCAGGATAATGTACCCAGCATCCTCAAAATGTGATCATTTGAAAAATATCAGTATGAACTCTTGGATTTTTACAAATGGGATACATTTCAATGCCCTCTGATTATCTTTTTTGATGCTCTTCCTCCACCAATAGGAGTCTCTTCAAGTTGGCTCCTGAGATCTTTTGAAATGACTTTGGATAGCTGCCTTGTTTTCTTGGGTAAAGAGATGTTCCGGGCTCATTGTGTAACACATTCTCCTCTAGACCTGGGCTTTCTGTCTATTTCGTTCATTGCTGTATCTCAGCTTTGTGGAATATGCCAGAACAGAGTCTGGTGCATAGTAGGTGCAAAATGAATACTTGCTAAATGAATGCATACATGCTCTTTTTAAAAGAGACTGAGAGGGGCGCCTGGGTGCCTCAGGCGGTAAAGTGTCCGACTTTGGCTCAGGTCATGATCTCATGGCTTGGGAGTCTGAGCCCCATGTTGGGCTCTGTGGCTGACAGCTGATAGCCTGGACCTGCTTCCGATTCTGTGTCCCTCTCTCGCTCTGCCCCTCCCCCGCTTGTGCTCTGTCTCTGTCTCTCTCAAGAACAAATACAACATTAAAAAAATAATAATAAAAAAAAGAGACTGAGATAGTAGGGGCTGGCTAACAAGCCTGCAGGTGGCACATGGGAGAGCAGAATTCGAACCAAGAGAGTCTGCTTTTCCATTTTGTGCTCTTAACGGAAACACTTGTGGGCCTTAAGATGGGCCAGGATGAAAATACAAATTGGTCAGAAAGGTGGGACACACATTCACGAATGGTCAATCCAGAGGGCTCCCTGAAGAGAGTAGAGGCCACTGGGAGCTTTTCCATCCCCGTGGGCACTCTCCAGTGCTGTTCTCTGGAGGGAGCCCATATTTACCATACTTATATAGTAGATGCTGAGGGTTGTTGTTTTATTTACACTCTGTAACAACGCTGAGAACTGTGGTATCTGAATGTAACAGGTGAAGTAGCTGTCGCCCAGGGAAGTGGAGTGGCTTGCTGTGGGTCGCACAGCTAGCTGGTAGAAGGGCTAACACTGGAGTCCAGGCCTGTCTGGTTCAAAGAGAAGGCACGTTCTTCCTGTGGTTTCCTGCGTCCAATAGAGGTTGGGACAGGATATTCATTAGGGCAGCCCCATCTGGCATATTTGATTACCTTGAGTTTGGAGACATCTGATTACCTTAAGTTTGCGGGGAGTCCTATCCCCCGTGGCAATATCCTGCCGAATCCTTCAGAGACCAGCTCACAGCGCATATCTTTCAACTCTCCTGTCATATTCCTATGGTGCATTATTTCTCTTACTTACCCAGCTGCCCTGAATCTGAGTGATGTGTGCATCCCCAGTGACAGAGATGGTTGCTCCAGAGAGCAAGTTCCACGCCCAACTCATCCTTGTGTTTCCCTGTGTGCTTCTCAGTACCCAACACAGTGCCAGGCATACAGTGGCCACTTAGGCACTTTGAATTGTTGCAGAATGTGTGAGACTGATCTTTCGAGTTTGAGGATCCTTCTTCCCACCCTCAGACATATTCATCCACATGACAAAGAAATTCATGTTCTCTAGCAAGTTGGCACATCTGAGACGAATGGCTGAGCAGAGACACGACACCTCCAGAAAGTTTAAGGAACAAAAGAGTAACAGACAGGGAGGATGCTTACAGCCATGGCCTTCAAAGAGGGTTATACCTGATGATTGGCTGGATGGGGTAGAGGGAGAAACATTAGATTTATTTGCGTAATCTAATTTTCGACTCATTCTTCAAAAATGCCTATTTCTGTGTATGCTTTATAATTGTCCTAATATACAAGTACAGTTGCATATAATTTATAAATTATAAATGTACATTTATTTATAATAAAGAAATACATTTATTATAAATGTAAATTTATAGTTTTAAATGTATGTATATTGGGAACACACCTAAAATTTCTTACTTATAGAGATGAGTGGTCAAAAAAAACTTTGGAGACCATCGATTTCTAGAAATTCCTGGCTGGTACCACCAGTGGTTTCTCATGGAAAATTCCAGACTGCCAGTCCTGGAGTAGCGGGGAAAGGAAATAATTACTCTAAGGCACCAGTGATTTGAGCAAGTGTTTTTGCAAATTGTGCCAATAGTTGGTGTATCCCCAAGGGCCTGAAGAGCTGGGTTTGCTCCTCCCTAGCGGGGGAGGCTGCTCTTGGTTGGGTGAGACATTAGGCGTGTGGTCGCATCTCTCCCCACCCGAGCCACACACCTTGGTGCCCCTGTAGAGACAACCCCCATCGTTGGGGCTGACTGCCTACATTTCAGTTTTTAATTTATTCTTGGGTTGATCTGCTCAACCTTCTCCCCTACCCCACCCCACTTTTCTTCTTTTCAGCTGCCCTAGGAATTGTCTTTGGCTAGACTTACCTAGATACAGATGTGGGCGACAGGGGTTTGGCCAGGGGGGCCTGATCTGACACAGTCCCCCAGGACACTGAATTTTGGCATGTAGTGTCAGAATGGCCACCCTTTCTTCCTGGTGCTTGGAAGTAGGGTGCTGTGGGTCTAAGGACTGTAACACGGCGTCCTCCTGTAAAACAACGAGGGGTCTCTGGGTTGAAGGAACTGCCAAGGCTACAGACCCTGAGGGTCAAGTATGAATCCAGCAGTGACAAGTGGAGGGGCCCTCGAACTGAGAACTAGAAGCAGGTGCCGAATAGGCACTGAGGGTGGGGGGTGGAAGAAGGAGTCCTGAGAGATCCCCTGCTTCTCTAACCAGCTAGTGTACCCTCCGTGGGGGTGTCCCATGTGCTGGGGGACACAGCCATAAGATGAATGTGATGTATTTTCTTGCTGTATCAGTTTTACTTGAAGAATGGGGGAACGGTTTTTACAGTAAAATACATATAGAAAGACTATGGAATAAAAAGCAAATGCATTTTTAAAGTGAAAACAGATTTTTGCTATAGATCTCTTTATGCCTCTTCCCAGGTTTCAGAGGATTTGCCTTCCCTGTCGTCTGCTTGTGGGAAGCGCGAGAGCAAAATATTTGTCAGTGGGTCTGTTGGGTGTGAAGGGCCAGAGGTGGAGGAGACAGGACACCCTTGGCCCCAGGGAGCGAGCACAAAAGAAGCTGACCCAGCCTGCTGCACAGCACCCTGGTCAGTCTTCACTGGGGAAATCCGATCCCACCCAGGGGGGGGAATCACCTCTCTCTGCAAGAAGCTCTCGCTTCTCAGTGTCACTTGCCCAGGAGCTGGAATTAGAGATAAATTTCCACTGTGTTAGAGCCAGGGCCTTTTCTGGGGGGAAGGGAGAGTTCTTTTTGGATTGGGTCAGGCCTGCTCATTGGGAGTTTGAGTAGAAGGGCATCTGCCTGTCTGGTGAAGAATCACTGGATGTTAGAGCAGGGAGGACCTGATAAATCCTCTGCCTAACTCTCGTGTGACTTAGGAGAATCTGGGAGCCCAGGGAAGCAACTGGCTGCTTAGTGGCAGAGGTTGACTCAAAACGACATCTTTTTTGGGGGTGCCTGGGCAGCTAAGTTGGTTAAGCGTGGGACTTCAGCTCAGGTCATGACCTCGTGGTTCACAAGTTCTAGCCTCGCGTTGGGCTGTGTGCCGACAGCTCAGAGCCTGGAGCCTGCTTCGGATTCTGTGTCTCCTTCTCTCTCTGCCCCTCCCGAGCTCACGCTTTGTCTCTCTCTCTCTCGCTCTCGAAAATAAACATTAAAAATAACATCTTTTTTTAAAAAATTAAATAAATTTTAAATTGTATTATAAGAACACTTAATATGAGATCTACCCTCATAACAAAGTTTTAAGTGTATAAAAGCAATATTGTTATCTACAGCACAATTGTGTACAGTTAGATCTCTAGATATTACTCATTTGCATAGCTGAAACTGTATACTCATTGACTAGTAACTCCCTATTTCTCCGTCCACCATTCTATTCTTTGTTCCTATGGGTTTGACTAATTCCACTCGTACAAGTGGAATCATGTAATATTTGTTCCTTCGTGACTGGTTTATTTCACTTAGCACAATGTCCTCAAAGTTCACCCATGTTGTTGCATATTGTAGGATTTCTTTCTTTCAAAAGGCTGGATAATATTCCGTTGTATGTATACACCACATTATCTTCATGTTTTCATCTGCTGATGGGCGTTTGGGTTGTTTCCACATCTTGGCCTTTGGGAATATGCTTCCATGAACATGAGAGCACAGATCTATCTCCTTGTGATCCTGATTCCAATTCTTCTGGACGTACACCTAGAAGCAGGATTGCTGGATCATCTGGAAATTCTACTTTTAATTTTTTGAGGAACCTCCATACTGCTTTTCATAGCTACACCATTTTTCACTCCCACCAACAGTGTGCAAGGGCTCCACTTTCTCCACATCCTCAATAACACTTGTTATCTTTTTTTTTTTTTTAAATAATCACATCCAGAAAGATGTGAGATGATATCTCAGTGTGGTTTTGATTTGCGTTTCTGTTACAGTTTGTGACGCTGGACATCTTTTCGTGTATCTGTTGGCCATTTGTATGTTTTCCTTGGAAAAACGTCCATTCAAGTCCTTAGCCATTTTTTTAGTTGAGTTATTAATATTGTTTGTTTTGGGCCATTATGCTGTAGGAGTTCTTTATATATTTTGAAAATTAATCCTTTATCAGATGGGTAATACATGGTTTACAAGTATTTTCTCCCATTCACTCTGTCAGTTGTTTCCTTTGCTGTGCAGAAGCTTTTCTGGTTCGATATCATCCCACTTGTCTATTTTTGCTTTTGGCAGCTGTGCTTTTCGTGTCATATCCATGAACTCATTGTCAAGACCTGTGCATGAAGCTTTCCCCCTGTTTTCTTCTGGGAGTTCTATAGTTTCAGGTCTTAGGTCTGTCTTTAATCCATTTTCAGTTTATTTTTATGTGTAAGATAAGGGCCCAGTTTCATTCTTTTGCATGTGGATATCCAGTTTTCTCAACACCATTTGTTGAAGAGACTATTCTTTTCCATTATATATTCTTGGTAACGTTGTTGAAGTAACATGTTGCACCCCTCAATGTCGTTTGTTTGAGGGGAACTGAAAGGTCTATATCAGCTCCAACAAGACCAGGTCATGATGGTTCAGAATTTTCTAGAACAGTCTTTGCTAGAGATTTATCCTAGCAAAATAGTGACTTATAAAATGGATATATATATATATCTCCACAAGGATCTTTATAGTAACATTATAGAAAATAGTAGACTTCTAAGGCAAATCAGAAGATTTTGGTTGTATTCATTGTGGAAATACCACCCAGTATAACAATGTATATAATTAAAAATTTCTTGCACAGAATATGCACTGGCACTGTGCCTCAGTGGTGATTACAGGGTCAACAGAAATAGCAATGCAGTCAATCTCTGGGTGCTGGACAATAGGTGATTTTTATACGTTCTTTATAAATTTCTGTATTTTTTAAATCTTCTACAGTGAACATTCATTATATTTCTTTTATATTATTTTACCTTTCAAAATAAAAGTGAGTCTTTTCAACTGACTGTAGTTACTAGTTAATGAAAAGCTGCCAGTGTGTTTTACAATTACTGGGTTCATTGGGTGGCTCACACCATACCTCTACTTTGACTTTTCTTTTTGCTGCAGAACACCTGTTGGTAGTTTATACAAAGAGGTCGTGTGGATAGTTAAAAAAAGTCTATTAGCTTTTGTGTATTTAAAATGTCTTTATTTCATCTTTACTCTTTAATGATCATTTAGCAGACTGTATAGTTTTTATTGCATTTTCCTTCAGCATTTTGAAGATACTCTGTTGTGTTCTGGCATCCATTGTTGTGTTGAAAGAGCAAGGTAGGTTAAATGAGCATATTTAATGAATATATTTTTGTGGGTAATCTCTCTATTTCTCTCTGGTAGCTTTGATGATTTTATCTTTAATATTCTGCAGTTTCATTATGCTGTGTCTAAGTGGGGATGTATCTTTTTTTTACTCTGCTTGGCACTTGTACACTTCCAATCTGAGGGTTCATTATCTCTCATCAATTCTTAGCTATTTTCTCTTTGAATGTTGCCTTGATATCAGTTCCTCAGTTCTCTTCTAAGAAGTCTGATTACACGTATGCTTTAATCTTCTGATCCATCTTTTATAGTTTTTATTTTTTTATTTTGCAATTGAGGTAAAATTTATATACGGAGAAATGCAAAGACCTTAAGCATACAATTTGGGAAACATATGCACCTGTGTATCTACAACCCCAGTTAAGATTTAGAACGTTTCCATCACTAGGAACATTCCTTTATGCCCCCTTCCAGTCAATTCCCACCTCTCATAGACATTTTTTTCTGACTTTTTCCATCCTGTATTAGTTTTCCTGCTCTTGAACTTCTTATAAATGTAATCATGTAGAATACAGTTTTGTGCCTGGTCTCTTGCACTCAAAATATTTTTGTGATTCAACCATGTCGTTGTACGTACCAATAGCTCATTACTTTTTTCTGGCAGAGTACTATTCCATTGTAGAAAAATACCAAATTTTGTTTAATCTGTTTTTCTGAATTATCTGGGGGGAGTGGGGTCTGTTCCACTGACTGCTTTTTTTCTTGAATTTAGTCACACAAAATCAGGGGGAAAGTCACTGAAATCAATACTGTGTTACTTCTATGTCTCAATTCTGCACTGTTACCCCCTGTTAGTACCCAACATTCCTCTCTTACCCCACTCTTGTGTCTCTCCATTCATCTGCCCTGTCACTAGCTGGGAAGAAATATGATTGCATCATTCACTCATATTAACCATTGGGGAGTGTGGTAGATAGATAGAATAATGCCTTCGCCCACACGTCCTAAATCCTAAAACCTATGAATGTGCTCCCTTATATGGTGAAAAGAACTTAGCAGATATGATTATTTAACGGATTTTTGAAGATTAGCCTGTATGAATGGGGTGGGCCCAATAGAACCAAAGGGTTTTTGTAAGAGGGGGTTGGAGGATCAAAGGCAGAATAGGAGAAGTGACGAAGAAAGCAGAGTCAGAAAAGGTGATGTGATGATGAATGCAGAGAGAGAGAGACAGACAGACAGAAAGAGAGACAGAGATTGGAAGATGCTTTGCTGCAGCTTTCAAAATGGAGGAAGACAGTCATGAGTCAAGGAATGCAGGCAGTCTCTAGAAAGTAGAAAAATCGAGGGACAAAAAAAAATCCTTTCCTGGAGCCTCCAGAAAGAATGCAGCCCCACTGACTTATCTTAGACTTTTGGCCTGTAGATCTGGGAGAAAATAAGTTTATGTTGTTCTAAGCCAAAAGTTTTCGATTATTTGTTACAGCAGCAATAGGAAACTGGTCTGGGGACTGAAGGTTTGGCCTCGCTTCTAGGTTGAAAATCTAGAATGTGCTCAAAGGATAAAGGCATTACTTAGCTCAAATGAATGATTCTGTCATGGTGGGATTTCAGCCACGCAAGGGGCTGCATGCCTCGTTTCCAAGGCCAGTCTGCTCCAGGGATGTTTGTCCTGTGTCCTAACGCCTTCACTTACTTCTCCTACCACAATGCCGCTGCCTCGGGGTAACCTTGTCTGAGAAGGCTGCCTCCACAATGCTATTGAGCTGGGAAGTTACTGGCACTAGAGTAGGTTTTAATG